GGAGCATCTCTCAGGCCGGCCTGTCCCGCTGTCCGTGACTGACACCGCAGGGTCCCAGCAGCGCCCGCCGCCCTCTGCTCGGCCCCACGGACCCCTGGACCTGCTCTGCATCCTCCCATCCAGGGCATCTCTCCATGGCTTGGCTCTCACCCATTCTCTTCTTCCACCTCTGCTGATGTTTAATCCCACCCAGACAAGCACAGCTCAAAAGGCTTTTTTTCACCCTTTAGTTTTCCTTGGGTTTAATTCTTCTCCTATTTTCCTTCCCATCCTCTGTCCTTCAATCCTTTCCATCTTTTCCACCCTCACCTTTCCCTCCTGGTCATGTCATGTTTTTAGGGAAGATGGGCAACCAGCACTGCTGAATTCCAGCTGGCATCGAGTGGCTCTCAGGGCATTTCCCACTTTCTTCCATCCCATAAATATTTCCATTTATTTAGATGCATCTTTATAAGTTAACACACAACCATCCCAAAGGTGCCAGCAGCAAAGGCTGAGTATTTCCAAGTTTATTTAGGATTTATTTAGTTTAGTTTAGCAGTACCCAGAGAGATTAACCTATTTCTTCCACTGCATCTTTTCCAGCCCTTCACCTGCATGGTGAGCAGGGAATGATGCTCAGGGCAGGCACACACTGGTCCCATCTCCATTCCATAAATCCTTTCTCTGCAGAGGAATCTTATGGGCTCCTGAAATGAAGTTATTTTGAGTTTTTATCCCAATAAACCCTCTGGTGCCTCCAAACCCACTGGCCAGCCAAGGTCTGGCTCTGCAGACACAGGGCAAACACTGGGGTTTGGGTCTGGAGAGGTGCCAGAGCTGTTTCCATGCTGTGAAAGGAAAGATTAAAGAATGTATTAAAGCCAAGAAACCAAACCAGGCACTTTGTCCTTCATGGCATTTTCTACAGGAAACAACAAGCAAAGCTGATGCTCCAGAGCTAAAATCCACTGGCCTCAAACTTTCAACCTGGAGAAATCACATTCTGCAAATGCATCCTGAGAAATCAGACCAGTGTGAAGACGTCCCTGCTGGACACCAGGAGCCTGGCTGGCTCCTTTCCTCTCCTGGCTGTGCCAGGGTCACAGGGAATGTGCTGCAGCCCAGCATCCCCAGCACCAGCACAAGGGCACCTCCTTGCAACCCTTGAAACCCCAGAACCCTGCTGGGGTAGGGTGCCAGAGCTCAAGGAACCCTCCACAAACGTGGGATGAAGTAATTGTTGTTGAGGGGACCTGACTCCTGGATTTTCACATGCTCGGCTTAGCAGGGGATTTACTCAGGGGAACAGCTGGAGCATGTGGCAGCAGCATCTCATTAGTGTCACAGACAATGCCCAGACAGTCTAAGACTAAAAAGTAGGGTTAATTTTCCCTATATAAATTTATTGTAAGAGTTTGGGGAGCTACAACACAGCTGAGTTTAGATTTCTTGTGTTAAAAGTTGCAGAACGGGTTCAATCACACTTGCAATAGCTGGGAAGGGCAAGGAGGAGCAGCTAGCCTGTGCTACTCTCCCCTCTTCTCTTTCCAAAAACTCCATCCCACCAAGGAGGGGTCAGAAAAGGGGAGAAGCCCCCAAAATGGTTATTCCTGCCCCCCACCCCATCCCTCTGTGATGCAAAGGTCACCAAACACAACCTCCCTCCTCCCACCCAGCAGCAGGACCAGCAAAGAAGCCAAACACATTCCCCTGAGAAGGTCTGGATGTGCCATGGAAATATATCCTGAAGGGAGGAGTAAAACAACGTAAAAGGTTACAGAGTTTAAGCACCAAGAGGGAGGAACAAGGTTATATAAAGTTTTACAGGTCAGGACAAAGACCTCAAATATATTAAAGAAAATAAACAGAGGGATGAAGTCAGCCTCACACGAGTGCCAAGGTTGGCTTGGGCTCTTTAAGCAATCCAAGGGCTGATGAAGAGTTTTTGAGGAACAAATCCAGGGTTACCCAAACGGAAGGAGATCCTACAGGAAGATGAGGGGCTGGAGACAGATACCAGGCAAAGAGTTCCTGACACACAAAGTGTGGGAGTCACTTCATGAATAGTCACTGAAATCAAAGCCACACTTGTGTTAAATACCCAGTTTCAGACTGAACTGAACACTCAAAGAGCAAGAAGCATGTGGGAATGAGAAAAACCCCTTTATCCAAGAGCTCTCCCTCTGGAGAGTGAAGCTGGAGCAGAATCCCAACTCCATGCCTCCCTGGAGCAGCCCACAATTTCTTCTTGCTGGAGAAGAGCATCACTGGCAGTCCTGAGGAGCATCAGCCCAGCTGTGGCACTGAGCCCTTGCCCTGGCACCCAAAATGTCCTTTTTCAGGGACACACCACCTTCCTGTTCCCTTTCGCACCGATGCCATTGTGCCATTCTCGGCGAGCAGCTCCCACTTCCTACCCAAGGAATGGGATTGAGGTGAGGGAAGCACAGATGATAAATACAGCTTCCCACACCCTAAAAAACTTCCTTCCCATTCCAGCAAGTTTGCACATACCTCAGCTGCTAATTTTAGGAGGGAGCTTTAAGCCTCATGTGAGACTGTCCCTGGATCCTGGCTGTATCTGCAGGGAGACTCAGCCCTGCTGCTTCCAATGAGCACCTGCAGTCACAGCTTTTCCCTGCAAGACAATTTGGAAATGCTGCTTTTGTATCCTACATTATCCACTGACAGACTTACAAAGTCTGGGACACAGAGGTATTTATTTCTTTGGCTTTATGTCCTAATGCAATAAATTCTTCTGGGGAGTTAATTCTGTACCATTCCAGCTCCTTCCTTTCTGCCTCAAGGGGAAAGGTGTATGGAGGAAATAAATTCCTGCCACATCCACCACCGTGTACTCCAGTGCGTTCCCACTGTAAGAATAAACCCAAGGAGTGATGATCCAGCACAAAATGAACACTTCATGCATTTTATTGAGTCTATTTAAATTTGCATTATAACACCTTACATAGGGAACAAACTCCTCCTAAGTGTTAGCTTGCATACCTGGTCAAACTGTGTCCAACAACCTCTGAGTACCAGTTTGTATTAAACAAGTCCAGTATAAATAAATGTAAAGCACTGTTTTAAAATAAAAAAAAAAAAAAAAAAAAAAAAAAAAAAAAAAAGAAAAATAAAAAAAAAAAAAAAAAAAAAAAAAAAAAAGGAATGATAAAGGAAAGTGTTACATTCACAGTGGAATTCAGGGCTTCACAACCAACAGCCTTCCCAGCAGAGTGAAATTCAGAAAGAAGCTCAAATATTGTAGCTAAAGGGAATAAAACCAGATATAAATCAAATAAATTCAATATTATGTTTCCCCATAAGACAAAAGAGATACAGTCTATCTGAGAGGCTGGGAAGCCCTGGTATAACAGATGCCAACCTCTTTTTTTAACACACCACCACTTATTTGTACTTTGGGTACATTACCATTAATTGTGTCTCTTCAGCCTCCTGCTTCCCGCCCCCCCGTCGAGGATAAACAAAAAGCCTACTGTACGTAAGGGCTGGAAATATTTCTGAAGTTGTTATAAATTCCCTCCATGTGGCTCCAAGCCAACCTTCATCCAAAGCTCCTCCTCCCGGGAGAAGGCAGAGGAGCAGGCAGACATTTGGGACGGCTGGGCTCCTCCTCGGCTCCCCAGACCCTTTCCCAAAGCAGGACACTGCTTCCATGGACACAGCGATCCCAAATGAAGGGTGAGACCAGTCAGCCCAACCCGCACCTCTCCTCACCCCCCACGATCCATCCCCTCATTCTTACTGTGAGATCACTGCGTTTGTGGGCAACTGTTTATCCACTGTGGAGCCACCCGGGAAAGGGGCCTTGGAGTCCCACATTTGCATAACCCAGCCAAGTGACAGGAAACTGGGATGACACTCATTACGAGCCATTGTGCCGGCTCTGGTGGGAAAGCCCTTGTCTGCAAGGCACACAATGGACAATTGGAGCTCCTTCAGACCCGGTGGGTGTCTGTCCCGCAGCTGCTGTGCCTGCACGGCAGCGCTTCTTACAAAAGGCCCTTAAAATTCCCTGATTTCCATGCACGAAGTACCTACGTAATCAAACCGTTTTTAAAACAACCGCCTCCACGCTCTCTGCAAAAAACCCGGCTTGTTTGAAGAAATAAAAAATATGCAATGCACGTGAAAGGGAAGTCCGATCAGCACCAGGAGTTCAGACTTTTCATAGATAAAGCCCTCCAACCCCCAAAAAAAGTGCGTACCCAGAACTTTGTGTTTGTTCACAATGTGAATTAAAATATTAACTAACAGCAACCTGTAACCAATGTAATGATTAAAACTGTGCTTGTGCCAAGGCTTTGGCCGGGTGACCGCTGTCACTGCTGTGGGCAGGGCTCTGTCCCTTCCAGAAAGGAATGAAGCTCCTACACCAGCTGTTCCCAGCAGGAGTTTGGACATTTGGGAAAAAACCCCATGGTAGGCACTGAGTCGGGCAATGACAAGGAGAATCCTTCAGAACCAAAACAAAAGCTGCTGATCCTGCAAGGAATGCCGCTGGTGCTGAAGGCGGATCCCACACGGTGGCACTGTGACCCAGCCACTGCACACAGGGCTCTGCCTCTCCAAAGCCAGCACTCCTACAAACCAGACCTAGGAACATGCCAAAACCCTTTTAAAGGGTTAACTCTTCGTACCCCTCCAGGCACCAGTGAAGATGCTGAGTCCCTCCAGAAATACTAAAAAAATACTAAGGGAAGAACTAAATACACATGTTCACTATCAAAATAATTCATGAAATGTAAATTAGTCTTAATTATGAAAGTGTTTTACATTTTGTAAGCAACTGAAATGTTAATATTGGCTTTTCCTAACTCCAATCTAAATTTAGATAAACAGAAATATAATTACCCTAATTAACTGAGCTACATAAAGAAGTTTTTGCTGCAGACAATGAGCCCCCAGCCCCTTTAGCACACTGTGAAAGGCACAGAAACCATGGAGAACGATGAACATCTCTTCAACTGAGATTAAATTATTTGTTCTTGGTACCGTTTGGGGAACCTCCAAGATTTTATTAATTGCTCTTGTTACAGAAAGATAAAATGTTAAGACATGCCATAAGCTATAACAAATCTGTGAGAGCAGTTCTACGAAGGTGGAAATTCCATGGAAAACATGGGGTGGCAGGTACCACAGCCATGCTGTGCGTGGGTTTGGGAAAATGGGCTCCCTTCCTGGTGGTCACCAGCTCTAGTCTGAGATTAACATCTCTGACTTTCAACATCTAACATGGTACTCATGTAGAGAGGGTTTTTTTTTTTCCTTCTAATTCTATGCTCTGTAAGTCTGGAAACTGCAACTGAGAGTGAGTATTTGCTCTGTGAAATTCAGAAGTGTTATTTTGCTGTGAAATTTTGGCACAGAGAACGCAGCACCCAGAATCAACAGCCAACTCCAATTTTACAGTGATGTGTGTCCAAGGGAAAAAACCAAACCCCTGAGCTGACTGATTGCTCTGTTCCCAAAGATCCCTCATGTTCCCTCTGCCATGATGGCGTGTCCCACCAGGAGGAAAGCGAGCTCAACAGCCAGGGCTTCCCACTGAAACAACAGCACTAAATGCACATGGAGGAAAAAAAGTCCAGAAAGGATGCTGTGGAATCCTGAACTAGCTGATGAGATGTTAAAATGGCTTAGAGCAGCAGTTATAGTTAATGCACCCACCACTATAAAACACACCAAAAATGTGTTTTAATTAGGAAAAAAGAGATAGGCCAGCTTTGGTTTTGTCATCTGAGGAACAAGCAACATTTCCCATCCAGCCAGCAAGAGCAGCTCATATCCCTTCAGAAATTCTGCCCTAGAGTGGAAATAAATAAAAACCGTATTTCCACTGCATATGTAAGCCAGGAAAAACCCAAAACCTTAGAGAATAAAACAAAGAAGGGGTCACTGAGGGTGAAGGATGCTTCCCCCCACGCACACTGATGAGAGTTGAGGTACGTTCTCCAATTCTCAACTGCAACAGGTCACGTACATAATTTTAAAAGTAAATTCATTTTCATTCTGTCCAACAGGAATATAAAGAGCTTGTTGGGTTTTTACTGTTAGTCTCAAGAATCTCCTACACATTTAAGTGCATTCATTTTAAAATGTAACCCAATACTAATGATGTGCTTTCCAGTTATTCCCTGAGGCACTAGCACCAAAGGTACCAACACCGGACCACTCAACACATCCAGAGGTTACCAATACAGCTGAAGCTTGTGAAGAACTAAAAACCAACCTGTCCGTATTTGTTTGCTGAAGTTACAACATTGCCTCAAAAACTGAGAGGAAAAGCTGATAGAAAAATTGGGAACAAACCTCAGTGAACAAGCCAGAACACACAGGTTTGTACTATTCCATATTTGCAACCACACCAAGAAATAACCAGCCATTAGAACAGTTTCTAATTTTTATCATCTTTTTTTGGTGGCATTACTGAGCCGAAACACTGCAACTATAACATTCAATTTCCGTTTTTTTAAATGCAATTAAATGTCTAAATCCAACTGTTTTTATGTTACAGTAGCTGTTCACATAAATAGTACATATATGCACTGCTCTTGACAGGTACACAGTCACAAAAGCAGCTCTCTCCTGTTCAGTTTGCTCTCTGTGTAGTGGGGTTTGTATGAAAAGCGTTCTTGATATCTAAGCATGGTACAATTTTAATTCTTAATGCGTTAGTACAACAGTGCATTGGAAAAGTACTGAGCTTCTACAAAAAAGCTTTACAATTTTAAAACAGATTTTTTTCCTTTATTTAAACAAGCATAGGCAATTCTTATATTTCCACAACAAGATAAATATCCCAATTACGCTAACAGCTCATCCTACAGCGTGCCATAGTGATGGGGAAAGGGCTAACATTAGTGTTATTTACACAGACATGTCCAATATTAACCCAAGAGGAAAATTAAAAGTATGTTCAAATGTGCAATAAAATTAATATTATTTTTTCAGAGTTGGATTTCTTGCAAAAATTCCTCTATGACTCATGGACACTGAGCTGGGATAACTTCTCAAATAACTCCTCAGAAGCATAATCTTGAGGACAAACTGTTTATTGGACAGGGATGGCAAGGGCTGGGCAGGAGAAAGAACTTAATATCTTCACAAAGAAAAAACAATATTTTGAAGTGGGGAGATGTCTTCGAACAAGTGAAATTGAACACCCAAACCAACTAGAATTCAAAAAACCTAATTAACGAAATTTTCCAATTCCCAAAGCTTGAATCCAGAGAAAATGCTTTCATGAGGGAAGAATCACTCCGAGTCATTACTATACATCGAGGTACCACTCAAAAAGTGGCCATAAAGGAAGTGACTTCTTTGCCCATCACTATCACACCAGCTGCCTGGCCATCGACTGAGCTCTCCTTTAGACAACGCTCTCTCTGTTGCCAGAAGCTAAGACTGCCCTGCGGCAGATGGGGCAGGTGGAGTTCTCCGACAGCCAGCGGTCGATGCAGTGCACGTGGTACTCGTGCGAGCACGGCAGCTTGCGGAGCTTGTTGCCCTCCGTGTACTCTGTGATGCACACGCTGCAGGTTTTCAGAGCGTCGCTCTCACCAAAATTCCTCATGGCTAGGTTGTCAATTTGTTCTTTGGTGAGTCCTCTTGGTTGGTCATCGTCATCTTCATTGAGTAGGAAAAATTGTGCAAGGCTAAGGAATGGTAGAGAACCACTTTCTTCAAAAGTGACCGATCCCCTCATATTCCGGCCTTCCCGCCTGGCACCAGATGTTGAGCTAGCCTCGTGCCCACCCTCGTACACCTCCCCTGAGCTAACATCTGCGTTCTCATTGCCCGAGGCGCCCCCGCCTCCGCTCTGCGGCTCAGAAGTCTCCACGTTCTGACTGGGAGCTGGCCCACTAGGATCTGCATCGCTATCGCTGTACATGAAGTAGCTGAGCTCCCCAAAGCCTGTCATGATCTGCCTCAGCATGGTCTGGATGGCGACTGACGTGGTCTCGCTCAGGCCGGTGTTTAAGATCCTGCGGATGGGAATCCTGATGGTGCTGACGTAAGTTCTCACGCCGGCCCGCTCCGAGCGGGAGAAGGTGCGCCGGAAGCCTCCGCGCTCGCTCTCGTAGGTGACCGTGTTGTTGGGGGTCTGGGACCGGGAGCGGGTCCTGTTGGCTATGCTGTCCCTCTGCCGGTACTCGCCCGGGCGAACTCTTCTCACCTGCAGGTCAAGCACTATGGTGGGAGGCCTCTGCCCAGGAGCTGTGGACTCACTGGTGCCGGTGGTTTCTGAAGAACCTGCTGCTTGAGGAGCAGGCCTCGTTTCAGGGGGGGAAAACAGAACTGCATTTTCACTTGGCACCTCAGTCCCCACTGCGTGCTGCCTTAACGTCACGTGCTGCCTGGTTCTAGAGCTACCTTCAGCCTCGCTCGCTGAGGAGTGGTCAAGTGTTTGAGATGATGTGTTGTGATGAGACCTGCGAGGGGCCTCACTCACTGCATTAATAGGTGACCTACTTCTATCAGTCCTAGCCCGTGTCCGCCGCTGCTCTGGACTCCTACTCCTGGCTCTCCTCTGCCCTCTAGGAGGGGAAGCCTCCTCAGCTGTCAGCTCCTCCGCACTGCTCCTTTCTGATCCAGGCTGCCTTACAGACGGTGATTCAGACCTTGGAATTTCAGAGTCACTTTGGCTGTTTTCCAAATCCTCCCCATTGGAAGGCTCTACAGATGGCTCATTCTCAGTTTCTGGATTCGTGTTCCCATTATTACGGTTGACATTTATTTCCAAACTGAATCTGAAGTCGCCACTACTTGGGTTAGTCCGGCTCACTGCTCTCCAGGACTGGTTTCCTCGCTGCCCACTTCGTGTTGTATTTCCAGTCTGTCGGACTGAATTAAGCCAGTCTATTATAGAATCTCCATTTGAAACATCTTCTGCGGACTCTGCACCTGTGAAAAAGACAGGGAACTACCAAAATTAGAGTACTGAGCTAATTCTGGAGCCATCTTTTCCAAGAACATAATTGCTTAGCTTAACAAGTGACAATTTAGAAGTGCTGAATCCTACTGAGTGCTACTGTGGTTTCACAGGCAGTGTGACAATTCTGTAACTACCAGAGCTCTTCTAAGGGAGCAGGAGTGGACATTGCTCTAATATGCACAGATAGGCTGCAGCCATCAGAGAGCAAACAAGTCACTGAAAGAACACGTATTTTCTATCATAAGTAAATGGAAAGTCACATGTCAGGTGTCATAACACATCAATATTCTGTGTTTTCCTTTGCAAACAATTAAGTGATCTATCGACCGTGAAACAGAGAATTAAGTTTGTCCTGAACCTTCACCCGCAGAGCTTTATAGCAAATCTGTCTCACTGAAGAATGAACCCCAGTGGTCAGCTCTGAGCATCCCCCACCAAGTTCTACAGAAGGGTGACAACAAAAGCAATGCAGCATCTTTGGAACGGAAGAAGTGGTGAATTAAAAAAGAGGGATCACCAGAAAGCATCCCCAAAGGGAGCAGAGAGAAAGGCAATCTTAAAAAAATTAAATAAAAAAATAAACAAATCTAAACAAAACTTTATTTTGATAGAAGTAAGAGATGTGTTATGAACGAAACCTGTCCCAAACTGACCTCTGCAGCAGATATCAGACATAAGGTTCACTGAGTTTTGAAACAAAGCTCACCTTGCACCTGCCTAGGCTTAACTTGTTCCACTCCTGCACTCAAGTTAAGGTCCGTATGGGGTGCTAAAGTTAAGAGTTTTCACAAATACTGTATATACCTCTATTCTCATCACTGTTTTGCTGTGGCGGACCTTCTTTAACTTGGTGTAGCCTTCTCAGCAACTCTTCTTCAGTAATTTCACCTTAGAAAATAAGCAAAATTTTCCAAAAATATTTCCAAATCATATATGTATGGCAAGCATTATAAAAGCTTCTAAAGAAGGTACAAGCCACTGCTTGTGTTTTGTCTAATTAAATCCTGCCATAATGGCACTGCCAAGCACATTGCTAAGGGGAAGTTCAGACACTTTAGCACTGTTGTCCCAAGTAAGTTTTCCTGAAGCTGAAATACCCAACAGTTCCATCCTATTAAAGAGAGATGTGCTCTCTGGTTCTGTAACCTCAACAACTGAGCAGCAGTATTTGTCATCCAACACCCAGTATGGTATCCAGTGTGAAATATTTGAGGTTAACACTTCCACAAGCAGGAAAAGAAGGTTTCAATTACTTGAGTCATGGTTTGAATTACGTATCAACCTATGAAGAGGAAATCCATCAAGTTGATTGAGAGCTGACATCAAAATGCCCATGCAGAATGTCATCCCAGACTACTTACCCTGGTACAAACTCCTAACCTCACCAGCACAAAATCTGCACACAGATGCTTAAAGGAGATTTTCTGTCCATCTAAGGGTTCATAACTGGAACCGAGTCAAATCTGGGTGTTCCTGCCAAGTTGTGCAAACACCAGACTTTTGTATCTGATGAATCCACACCATCCTATGTCTCCACAAGTCAAGGGACCACTTGAATTTGAATGTGCACAAATTAGCAAGAAGCTACTTCCTACCACGGAACACGGCTGCAGCACACAGACGGGTGAAAGGGTTTCAGGAGAACGGAAAATGACACAAACTGCCTACAAGCAACTCTAGCAGGATGGACATAGGCAAGCACTACCTACCTGGTGTTCCTAGCAAATTGTTATCTCTCATAAGCCTGTAGTCCTCTTCACTCAGGTTGTTCACAAACTGATAGAAAGCTTCTTCTCGATCTAACCGATCCAGCTGGCTCTGGCGTTGGGCTTCTGATTGATCAATACTTCCTTTATCACTAGAATCTGAGCTTTCCATCTTGATGAGTAGAAAAGTACCTAAAAAAGGAGAAAACAAAACCCTTCATGAGGGCAGTGAAATACAGCATGGAATTTGTGCATGTTTGCAATGGAGAGTGAAGTACAGGTTAAAGCAGTTTGCTAATGAAGCTTTAGTTAAGATCAGGTTCATCACCACAGGGATCAAAAACAAAGCATGAACCTCCTCAAGAAGTACAAACAAAACTGATGCCCAAATACTCATCAAAGCAGCAATCTGAACACAGAATATAATCTGCCATAAGCCTTATAGCCCATTTTTGAATTCACAGAGTAGGTGACCATGATCATCTGCTTTTTGCATAAAATATTCCTAGTATCACAACTGCCTCTCCAAGCAGCCTTACAGACGTGCAGTACAAGGCATAAGCCATCCTTGATCGTGCTCTCTGAGCACAGGATTATGTGTTCCTTGTTTTTTCCTGCCTGCTACAGAAACACCCTCTTCACCACACTAGTGAATTTTAACAGAATGAAGTCGTTATGAAGAACTCAAAGAAAATGCTGTTGAACCATGCACACACAAAAAAGAAGGGACAGGTTCTCATTCCCTCAAAAAACAAAAAGTTTGTAAAATCAATTTTATAGTTTTACATCAAGAGAGGAATTTTCTTTTCAAGTTTCTTTTACTGAACTATTGATGTTGATGAGTAAATTTCCAAGACAAAACTCCAGCATATACCAGGTACACCACTGCTTTAAAAAGCTGTCTTCTGGGCTGCATATTTTTAAATATAACCTTCTCATATTGTTTTTAATTTGGATTAAATACTTGACAACGTCTCTCTTTCAAGGAAAATAATCGATGAATGCCGTGTCTGTATCTGATAAATATTATAAGAAACACATGCAAATGCAGGAGACGTTCTGGCACTGGCTGTGCCATGCAAATACATCAAATGAAGATAAAATAACCAGTTTCCTTGATCACTATGCCTCACTATTCACAGCACCAAGAATTTTCCTGTACAACTGGTAGAATCTAGTTACTCAGAGAGGTGATTAAGAAGCTAATCTTCTGCATGCTAAAAAGCTCTGCAATAACATTCCCCATCAGAAAACATTCCTTTCATTTAAACCATACTTCAAGTGACATGGAAATACTGGAAGAATAAAGCTTTTCTGCTTCTCACTGGAAAATTTCCAACACTTAGACATCTGTCTAGTGCAAAAAGCATCTTTTTTTGGTTTGTCAGCACAGCTGTCAAGTCAAGACTGCCCACAGTTTACATTAGTGCTTCTCCAGAAGAGCAGCCCTGCATGATCTCCACGGGCACTTTATTTCAGCTGCTATGGTGAAAATTAAAGTGCACCAACGACCTCGGTGTGCAGCACCAGAAAAATTCCACAGGACAGGACATCCTGCTATTGCAGACTTGAAAATTATGAAACTGCTGCTCTGACCCTCTTTGTCTTCAGTTCTGATCCAGCAGAACTTGATTTTAAGTAAGTCAGTGATATTAACTTATTGCCACTCGGGGCTACCGGTGCTGTTTGGTTCTGTGAAACCAGGAATAGGGAAGCAGCAGCAATTACCAGAGCCACTCCTGAGTCAGATGGGAGCTGATCAGCTTTCTCTGCATTTCTAAATCCCTGGTGCAATCTAAAGACTGCAGACTGGCATGTGACATGCGAGTGTTGTGTGCTGTGACGTGCTGATAAACACCGATAAATGACCCCATTCACAGGACAGTTGAGCAATAGCTTCTGCAGGTGTGTTCAGCTCTGACCGGCCTCACTTAGGAAATCCCTGTGCCCTTCACGTGCCAGGCACGTATTTCTAGTGAGAACACAGCTTCAAACAACTTTTTTACAAGCTTTCTGCAGCAGAATTATTACTCCAAGCAGTATTATTTAAAGACGTGACGGAGAAGATACTTTTAAAAGCAGCTCTCACTGGTTCTGGTAATATCTGAACAAAAGTCTCAAGTAGAATGTGAGATTTGCATCCAAAATAAAACCTTGAAATACATCCGTTCTTTGGGAATACACATCAAACTTGGAAACACGTGGAACATCTTCAGAAAGATGGCAATATTAACACCTTAATAAGCATTAGACCAATTCTTCAACAGCTCTTAAAACAGAAAGATGCACTACACATACAAAACGTAACATTTGTTTACTACTTATTTATTACTTTCCTTTTAACTGAAAATGCTTGCAGGCACCTCAGCTATCTAATGCCTACGTGATTCAAAGATATTTGCCTATTCCATTTCAGAAAATGAAGGGCACCATTCTTGGTCAGGGAAAAAGGGAGAGTCAAAACAAGTCAAAAGGAGGGGGTGGAATTTATAAATCTCTTATTTACCAACAGGCTGATGTACAGTTCAGTGGATATTCTTTAGGAAATGCCTGGAATAAGTCATTACTACTTATTTCCAGGTTTGCTCCTCTTTTGTCCTCCATCACCTCTTACCTTCCCTCTTAAACCATACAATCAGCTAATTGTCAAGGCTGAACAGAGTCTACTGCTGAGAAAAAAGCCTCAGAGGTGGCATGAATGAAGAATTTAATTTACATAAGGACCTTTCTGCTAGTGACAAATTGCTGTATTTTCCTATTGCAAGCTACTAACAGGTTACACCAGTCCCCCATATCCAGATTTCAGGATCCCAGAAATGCTGTGAATCTCTATGGGATGTTTACACTGATGGCACAGAAACACAGCAGCAACAACACGTTCTCGCTATGTGACTGATGACAGCAAATGGGATGATACTGTTCAAACCAGAGCTCTGACGAAAATGAAACCAGCAAATGAAAACCAGGATTTCTACCCCAAGGCTTCTGCTAGTTTCTATCTCCTCATTGTGCTCATTGTCCAGCATAAGCCTCACCTCCCAGCCCGCTGCAGAGCTCTCCATGGCCAGACTGAAGTTACTGGAATGTTTAGACTGCTCCTGCCTCAGCATGGCTCCACAGAGCCCATCTGGCTGGGCAGCAGAATTTCCATGGTGGGAGCCACCACGGCCCTGCACAGAGAGGCAGAAAGAACCTGAACCCCTGCCCTTCAGGATGCTGCTCTCAGCTCACAGCCTGTGGACAATTAAGACTGGCTGAAGGAAGCCAGTAATACAGGGAAGCCTGATGAGGGAAAACCAACAGGTGCACTATTAGCTTACAACAAAATAACCAACATTTGGCTATCTAATAAGCAAGAACAGTTCAACTCTGCTTTTCCTTCTCCCAGTACAAGGCTTTGTTCTTATCCAAGCTAAAAGATTCAGAAATTTCTCCTTTAGTGTCCTTCCTTGTCAGCACTGAGTTGACACAGGGTGGGGAAGGTCACAGCTATGAGCAGGAAGTTCAGATCTGGTGGTTATTGCCAACTTCAGCTGAGATTATCCAGGTATGAAAAACCTCTTTACAGGGAAGTGAGGGGGTGGCCACCTAAGGACTGCACAAAGCACGAGAATCGGAGACAGGATAAACAATTTTCTCCTTGGGAAAAAAAAAAATTCTTCAGCAGCTGAATATCCAGACAAGAGTAGCTACAGAGTGAATTCTTAATTGGTGTTCCTGTCCTGCCACAAATCAGAAAAGTATCTTCCCTGCAGTTACGCTTCAACAACCTCAGAGATTTCCAAGCACAAATGACTGCCTGTCTCCCCACTGCTGCTCCAGACTGCAGTAAGCCCACAAAAGCCATTGTTTGTTACATTCTTTTAATTCAAGAGGAAGCAATACTATATGTTTTTGGACAGGGACAATTTAAGAGTACTGGATATTCCCTCAATAATACAAAGTTATCATTCATACAGCCTAAGAAATATTTTGTTTTCTTTCATGCCAGGTTGTGTGTGAACTAAATCCAGTCAGGAATGTGCTACTGCTTCAATTCTAGTGGGACAGCAAGCAGGGATAACATGTGTGTGTCACCCATTTACCTTCAACAGTAACACAGCCTATCTCCATACTGCACAGCACTTGTGGACTACAGGATTCTTCCCAGAAAAAGTATTAATGGACTATAATGCACAGTAATGAATCTCTAGTTCTTCCTCCTTCAAAAATGTGTAATATCTCCTGACATTAGTTACCTTACTTGAACACCAAGACACTACCTTAGCCTGTATTGCTGGTTTCTTTTTTACATTTAAAAGAAATCCCATAAAACATTAGAGCTCTCATTAAACCAACTAGGCAGAACTTAGAAAATCTGACAAACCCTGAAATCACTAATTGGCAGGGTTAATGAAAAAGCGACACCTTAAAATTAAAATTTTCATTAGATTTATGGGGCAAGCCTCAAATTTTAACAGAAGGCACGGAATTTAATTAAACTGAAAGACCAACTCAGCTGGTCATGAGTCAGGTGTGCAAGAAGAAGTTTCTCTAGAACTCCCCCATGTCGGTGTTACCGGTATATCAACCTCACCTGAGAATCTCTTGTGCCCTGTGTGGCAGGAATGTTTCCTGAGTTACCTCACGTCCCAGCAACACAGTTAATACCTCTGGATAAACAAAAAAGAGGATGGCAGTGTGGGTGTTCCAGAGATGTCCTCAGCAGAAGGCCAGCTTCTCATTTATGATTCATACCCTCATCTTAATTAGCTACTCCAACCGGTAGAGCACCTTGCGTACTTGCAGTCCACAGAACTGATCAAACCCTTGGACTAAAGGAGTGACTCAGGATGGAATCCAGAAGCACGGATTTGCTTGGGATTTGTTTGCTTTGGGTCGTTAGAGGCTATTTTCCCTGCCCAGCTTGCAGTGAACATGCCTCAAAGACACTTCAGCTCCAGAGAAGCACAGCACAGCTGCGTGTCCAAGCGCTTTCCACGAACTGTGACTTCAGCAGCTCTGACGTGCCATGGCAGCACGGCCCCAGCCAGCCTCGCTCCAATTCCATGTCTCAAATGACACAGGAACAGCAGCTAGAACAGGCAGTCCTCTTACCCCAGCTCCTTCAAGCACAAACTGAACCCACTTCACACACAGCACTCATCCAACCCACTCCACCTCATTTTCCTAGAAGAATTCAAAGTGGAAAAAACAGTTTCCATGCCAGTCAGTATCCAATTTCTCCATACTCAAAACTGGAAGTAAGACATAACAGAAACTACATTTTCATCTTAAATATTTCATCACTCAAGTCTGCAAGCTCAAAAGCAGAAGGAAAAACTGTCAGTGAATCCCATCATTAAAGGAAAAAGACACCCTAAGACAGTGAAATGAAAGTAATCTGTTTGCATTATACATGGAGCTTCATTATGTCAAGTTGTTTGGCTTTTTCTTTTTGTGCAGGTGCACAAGGTGCCTTTTGTGATCACACCGAAGTCTTTGATACCACAGGTCCAATATACTCATCTCCATCTTAGAAACAGTAAAAAAGAAGAAACTTTTCTAATTTTCGAAGTGGCATAATGAATTTTGGGATTCTTTTCCCTTCTATTGTGGCTTTTTATTTCCACTGTGATGAACAGCAGGTTTAGGTTCTTATTAGCTTTTTAATAAATCTACCACAAGTTTTAAAATCAGAAATGCACCAGTCTTGCAAAGCTGGAAGAAAGTTTTGTATTCTATAAAGTGTTCTATGAAAAGTCCTGTAAAATTTAAATGCCACTTTAATAATGAGTTTTAAACATCGATTCAGCTTTTTCATTACCCAGTTTTTGAAAGCAAAGGCCCTCAAACAAGATGTCATTCTGAACATACATTTCAAACAACAGAAAGCAAATGAATACTTGTGCAGAACAGTGGCAGAAAGTTCCACAGAATAAAAAACCCCAACAGACCAGAGAGGAAAAACACTTCAGCTGAACCAACTGCTGAGATAAAGAAACACTAACAACTCCTGATAAGTCAGAAAGAAGTGAGGAAATCAGGGCAGAACTTAGCAATTCCAGAATACTGAGAGCATGTGGAACCAAGATGGAGCTCTGAAAATAAAATGCAGTAACAACTGCCAAAATGCTGGGCTTTGCCTTTTATCATCTGCAGTTACTAAAACAACACTTTCCACATACAAGTGGAAAATAAAATTAAGATAACACTGCCTTTGCCATCAAATTCAGATAGCACAGAAGAGAAAGCTTGGCGTATACGAGGTGCAGCAAGTTTCCAGCACTGCAGGCTCGTGAGGTGATGCTCTTTTTGCCCAGAAATGAACTTCCAGCTGGGTCAGCAGCAGAAGGCCCACGCTGAACTCAAAAGAAGTAAAGCTGCACACAAGTAAGCAGTGCTGACCCTGAGAGACAGCACTGGAACAGGACTGATAGCCAAGGACAAGTAGAGTTTTGATTCCTGAAGAAACACAAGCTGTGGTTAGTGAAAACACCAAGCCAATCAACACTCACTGACTTTCAATTAAAAAAGAAAAAGCCATCTTTAAATTGACTGCTGAATCTTGCTGTCTCCACACAACTGCTGCTAATGCAGGCACTGCTAACAGTAAAAGAGCAACAATCACTGCAACCACAAACCACAGAGGAATTCCGATACGTGCGTTCCTGTTCTTGCTGATATCCACTGCCCAACAAAGAGAGGTGGGAAATCAAATTAAGGCAAATTTATCTATTTATCTGAATTTAAACAGGCATCTGTACCATGACAATTCCATTTCTGATACCATCCCAAGGCAGAGAAGCTCCAGCATTTTAATAGGACTATGTGCACATATACCTTGCACATCGAAACCCAGAGTGCTCTGAGCACAAGATGATTTTAAATACTGAATGAAGATAAAATATGTGCTGGCTTTTCCTACATTCCATAACCATCAGGTGGTTTTATGAGACCATCCAACCCTGCAGACCTCCCTGAGTCAAAAGCTGATCTTGAACACCATGCAGCAGCCAAAAGCTCCTAACAAGCACCTCATTAATACAAACCTGAGCACTCTGAAGGAGACACAGGCTTGTGTTTATGATCTTACCTGCAGCCAGAAGCTGTGCAAAGGCAAAACCAGTCCCTGGGATGCTCCTGGCTATCCCTACTCAGCACACAAAGCTCCTGACTAAGTTATGACACTACTAAACTCTTTAGAAGTTTTGGTTTTGAGAAGCACAAGACTCCCATAAAGGGATCATGAAGGAAGTGTTCACATTTGGTTTTATCCCTTCACGAATAATTTTTGCAAACTCAGCCGCTGATAAGTTTTCACCAAGACTGAGATTAAACCACAAAACCTTGGCTAAACACCCAATAATCATGTCTGGATTCAAGTGTTTTAAGACATGGAAACTGAAGTTCTCTACAAAAAAAGAATTTAGGACACTCCAGTAATGTGTTAAGCTACATTAGGCTGGACTTAAACACAAACTTTAGACATATGGAGTCATATGTTATATAAACATATTATGTTTATTAATATTAATAACATGTTATTAATATATAGCATTGTGTTCTATATTAATTGCATTGTTATTATGCTGTGATTTTTAAAAAAATGTAACACCTCCACTGCAATTGGAATTATTCTGCTAAGATCAAGGGATTTATTTTGCTACATCCCCACAGGGAAGAGGACTAAAGAACAAGCAAGGCAGGTGTCTGATGTAAGGGTGTTTTGAAAACATTTCAATCTACGGATCACGTTATCCATTCCTCTAAAAAAAACCCAACTACACATATTGGAGAGCAGACACTTGCAACAGCCTTTTCTAGGAATTCAGTAATATGGAAAATAAATATGATAGAGATGGCAACCACTAGAGCTTGAAAAACACTGGTGTGTGGTTATTTCAGGGACAAACATTTACCCAGTCAGAGTTGCTGATGAAGGGAACACTGCAGTTGTTGTGCTTTAGTGGTCTAACATAACAAGAAACCCTTAATTTTATAATGTGTGGTGTGTTTTCCCTTCCCAAGACATAATTCCAAGCTATCATTATTTTAATTCCAAAATGGTAAACCTGTAGAGGGAACAGAGTCAGTTTAAGTGCTAGGTGACCACTACAACTAAACTAAATATCTGACCCTCAATTAAGATAATTAACTGCCCGAGAAGCAGCGAACTGTTTGTTTTAAAAAGACTTGACAAGTCACTGCAATTAAAACTCGGGGACAAATTAGAAGTTCTTTTGAACATTTGACAAGTATTTCCAAGCTGAAATTACCCAATACTGCCAACACGTTCAGGAAAATAAATGTGATGTGTGACGATACTATTGGGTATTATCAAGTTTGTATTCTTGTTTAGGAGCTTCTCTGCATCAAGGCTCCACCTTGCTGAGAAACAGCAAAATAATACTACTATTATTTTAAAAATTCAGGTTTTTTTGCTGTGAAACCTTTTGTCAGACTTCTGCTGCACACTACAATCGGGACACATAATAAATTTTATAAACAAACCTTAATCATCACTACATGCCAGGCAGATATACATACACACAGCTTGACATTGCTCCTCAGTTAAAGCAGACTCGAGATAAACACATACATGCAGCTGGACTCGACAAAGGTTTTGAAACAGAGAACCAGAACCCTTAAATACTAACAAACATCGTTAAAAGGGGCAGGGGAAAACCTGCACAGGAAGCTAAGGTGACAGAGCAAAGATGACGTGCTTAACTGGGGAGAAACTCAGCACAGGAATAGCAAACAGCACAGGTCTGAACAGGTCACAGGCTGATCCAAAGCTCTGCACAGCGGGAGAGGAAGAGTTCTTCTCGCCTGTCTTCCACAACAAGGCTTCTTGGCCCAGCTCTCGGGGAGCACGGGCGGAAAACGCGGCCGTGAGAGGCTGCGGTTCCCGCAGCAGACGCCCAAGCGCGGACGAGGCCCAGGGCAGCAGCTCTGACCACCCCCTCCCCCACCCCTCCCGAAGGAGCCGCTCACCATTCCTCCCCAGCCCGGCCGGACACCCGCAGGGCGCGGGGCCCGTCTGCCCTCCCCGCAGGCAGCGCAGCCCCCGCTCCAGCCCGCAGCGGAGGATCCGGGCGGCTCCGGCGGGAGAGGCCCCGGGGTGACGGAGCGCGGCCCATCCGGGCACACCCGCCCAGACCGCCATCACCGCCCCCCGCTCCCTCACGGCACCGCGGACGGAGCCTCCCGCGCCCCGCCGAGCCGCCCCGCCGGCCCCGAGCCGGCACTGAGGGGCTCCGCTCCCGCCTCCCGCTGCGGGCAGAGGCCGCCGCCGCCTCCCCCGGGCCTGGGCCTCTCCCGTCCCCGGGCCATTTTGAGAGCCCGCCCCCGCCCCGCTGCTCACCGCCCGCCGCCGCCGACGCCCGCCGCCGCCCCGGCTGTGGGTGCGCCGCTGCCCGCGCCGCTCGGGGCTGGGTGCCGGCTGTCCGCGCTCCGCCCGTGCCGCTCCGCCGCCGCGCCGCCTCCTGCCCGCTCAGGCGGCCATTTTCTGCTCCATTGTTACCAAGGAACGGGGGGCCGGAAGCGGCCGCCGGCAGCCGGAAGTGGGGGCGCGCGCGGCCCCGCGCAGGCGCGGCCCGCGAGGGCAGCCCCGCCCAGCGCGCGCGGCCGCGGCCCTCAGGGGCCGCCGCCATTTTGGTGCGGGCAGAGGCTGAGGGCGGGGCGGGGCTGCCGTGGCTGCTCCTCAGCTCAGAGCACCCAGCACCCAGGGAATGCGGGGGGGACCGGGGTTCAGCAGTGCCTGCCCGTTCACTGTAGGGTTCGTATCCCCGCGGTCCCCTAAGTTTCATGTTGTCTCAGGTGTGGGCGCTGGAGAGAGGGGATTCCGTGCATGGTCGATGGTGGCCAGCAGTGCCAAAAAAACAAATACTGGCCGTACTGGCGTCTGTCGGTGCGGGTATTCATCCTTCCAAGCATGGACATTCCTCCCCCTCTAACCATGGGCATTCCTCCCCCTCTAACTATGGGCATTCCTCCCCCTCTAACCATGGGCATTCCTCCCCCTCTAACCATGGGCATTCCTCCCCCTCTAACCACGGACATTCCTTTCCCTCCAAGCTTTGACATTCCTCCACCTCAAACCGTGAACGTTCTTTCCCCTCTATAACTATGGCAGGGTTTTCCCCCCTCACTTGGTGGTGTGTACTACATGCAGCTCTGAAAACTGAGATATTCATGTTTTCCTATGTGAGCCTTAATGAGTTGAACGCCAGACTTCCCATGTTATGTAGGGTTAAGCACTTCTGCAGTGTTCCCCCTCACTGCTGGAATTACCGAGGGCAGCTGAGTTTTGAAAGATCCCATTTTAATGCCCAAAATGTCATATCTTGCTAAGGTCTTGCAAGGAAGTTATCTTCATAGTATCTGATACATAGAGAAAAAACGTATTCCTGAGGATTTTACACCATTTCAGGAAGCCCACGAGACACCTTTTTTTCTCCTTTTGGTGGTTCATTATAAAAATAGCACTGTCAAGTTGAGGGGGGTGTTGCATTTAAAGATTGTGGAAGCTGTTAAGTTTCTACTCAACAATACAAGTCCAACTTCTAATGTAAATGAAGTGGTTTTATATATTCATGTGAAAAATGCATATTTTATGATTGCCTCTTCACAAATATTAAATTGAATACTATGTGTGTTATGGAGGGTTATTTTGTAATACTGTATTAATCCTTTTTAAGTAGTGTGTTAAATACAGTTTTAGGTTACAACATAATGTTAAAATAGAAACTCTGCAATGTAGGATATTTTTTACTAGCTCAAGAAAAGGGATATGATAATCAAGAAACTCTTCGCATAGAGATAACAGCAACAGAAAATCTAAAGAATTACAGCCTCCTTATCAGAAAAGACAAACATTCTTCCACCTTCTCTCCATCTTTATGGAACCACCAGGATTAAGGGGAAGAATTTGACAAAAACCAGAAACATTCTTAATTTGCAAAGAATTTATGCATCATGTATGAGATAGATGAATATGCAACTGGCTGTTGCTTTTAAGGGTTATTCCTTTGCTCCCAAGACGTGTTTTTGGCAGTTCAGTGCCCCAAAACATCCAGATGTCTGTAATTCTTTGCTTTTTATTGTCTTGTAGTGTCCTAATCCTGTGTCCAAATTTTTACTACTCTAATTTTATTACTATTTTTATAACTATTTTATTATTAACTTTTAAGATTAAAAAAAAAAAAACAAAAAACAAGTGATTGGTGTTTTTCACAATTCACACTTTAAATTCCCTCCAGCAGACTTGAGAACTCAAAGGCAGCCACAGTGTCCGGGCGAGAGAAGAGGGAAGGAACAGGTACAGGGCATATTTCTCATCAGTTTTACTTGCCACAGCCTGTGACCAGGAAAGGAAGATGCCAAAATCCTTAATAACAGAGAGCAGGAAGGAGTCCCACTTTCATCTGGAGCAGGTGTAGGTTCCCAACTATGTTTTTGTTCAAATAACCTGTACATGAAGCAATTGAGTATTGATACACCAGATACCTGGAGTGATGGAGAGGTAGTACTTAACACAGCATAAAACTTGCTTGGACAATGTTCACTTCTTATGATTTTAAAAGTAAATTGGGGTGGGAGGGTGAGTTTACATCAGACCAGTCTTTTGCATCGTTGCTAAAGTTACAATTAAATGTACTGCTGGGTCAAACTGTGACCTAACAGCTCTGCTTTGGCTGTTAAATGTGAGTAATATTATAAAAAAAACCCCAAAGAAGAGTAAATTTAATGTCACAAAGCAATTTTGTGGTTTTAATGCATCACAATACTTAATGCACCAAATATTTAATGCACCAAAATATTTGCCACTGGGAAAAGTTGTCTTGCTCCTGACCCATGACAAATGTATGTTTTATGTGGTCCAACCCCTACAAAATCCAGTGGCTGGAGAAACTGTATCCCCCAAATGGAGACCCTGTGGCTTAGTGTGTGGACACTGCTTTATATTTGACAGGCACCACTGAAGCTGGCAAAAAACCCATTCCATTTTTCAAACGTGGATAATTCAGGGAGCAGGTGATGGGCACACAATTGATCCAGCTTATCATGGGAAGCCTTGTGCCCAGGATTGATAAGGCAGCCATGAGTGTGAGTGTTGGCAATTAGCACAGCAGCAGGACATTTCTGTGTCACCTCAAAAGAAATCAGAGGTGAGGGCACTGCCACAGGCTGGTCATGCATGAAAGTGAATCCTGCCTTTCCCCCCACCTTTTCTGGATACAAGGCAAGGTCAGAGCAGGATAAAAGTGGCTTTGTTTAGACACCAGTAACCTAAGCAGCAAAATATGAGGGATTATTGAGCAAATGGGAGGTGGAGCATATTCTGTTTGGATGGAGGGATAAGATGATGGTTTATGTTCTTGGAACAGCCTCCTGACATCTGACACATCATTTTGTTTGTATCTTTCCCCCTCAACAGAATAGGTTTACTTGATTAACCTTACCGAAAGTCTTGAAAATCATCAAATGGCAAAGCAACAGAGCAATAAAACATTCCTCTTCACGTCTGTGGGTGAGCTCCGACTCTTGAGGCAGACATTTGTAGTTTGCTGGGAGATGAACACCCGTGAGGAGCAGAGACAGCAGCTGGATCCTGCTGATTCACACCTTCCTTAGCAGTAAAAACTTGGAGCTGAGGTCCAGGGCACACAGCTGAAGAAAAGTCTCTCCCTGGGTGCGATTTGGTGGATTTATTTGCAAATGCCCTCACAGAGTTGATCAGGTACAGAATAAGCTCTGATTTTTCAAAACCACTTAATGGGTTTCAGTATCCACTTGACATTAATAATAATTAATGACCTGTGCACACACATCTCCTAAACAGCTTTGACAAAATTAGGAGCAGTGTAGCAGCATATTTCAAAAAGCTTGTAGGGGAAAATATATTTGCATAGAAAAATTTGCAGTATAGGGAAAAATTCAAAATCTACAGCAAAAGCATGGTGTAATTCCTACTTAAGTGTTTTCAATTTGCTACTGTGTGTATAGCAAAAGAGAATTGCAACACTTTTCCATGGTAAGTTTAATGTCGTTTCCTTCAATGGGGGTAAATAAATTTGTTTTAAATTCCCTAGGGTTTTAAAAACTGCTTATTAGGTATGCAGTGATAGATGAAAAAAATGTTGGCTTATTTTTTTTTTTCTAAAAATATATTAAAATAACTCATTCTCAGTATAGCTAAGTAATAATCCAAATGCAGTGAGGTGTGGAAATCTGAATCTCTTGGGAGCTTCTAAACCTGAGCAAAAAAATTAAAAATAACAGACCCACCAAACTCAGATCTTTGTATACTCCAAGTAGAGGTAGAGCCAGGAACTGAGTGGGGAGATGAAGCCAGCTGGGGAGTGTAAATGCAGGAATTCTGATTTTTCCCAGCTACCTGGGCTTAAAGCTGAGCTGCTGTTTACTTTTTACATTGACTTTGTCTTTCTGTAGATTCTGGCAGAAAGTTACATACAAAGTCTGTGATAAATGTAGGATGTGGAAACTTCTGCTGAATTTGCTTAATCCCAAAGGATTTCTCTGCTGTTTACTGTCACCTAGTTAAATTCTATAAATCCAGTTGTACCTAAAAAATTCAGGCTGCAGAAGATGAAGTATTTAAAGCAGAGTGTGGCAATTTATACAACCCAAACATAGAGGTGCTTGCTCATGTCACCAAAGTGCTTCATCACTGCACCTGAGCCCTGTTCCGGCCAGAAATAACCAAAGTCAAGTGGGAAAAAGTGAGGTTTTATTTTTCCTTCTGGTTAACAAAATTACCCCAGGCCATCCAAGAACATCCATGTGCAATTAAACTATTATTTTTCCTTTCTGGAAAACTCACCTTTGCAGGTATTAATTCAAGAAAACTTGTCTCCTGATGAAGGAACTTTATTTCTATTCTGAAAAAGCCATCTCTGCCAGGTTTTCATTTCAAGTTCATTGATTTTATTAAAACCCTGAGGCAAGAAAGCTCATCTAAAGTAGTCAAATGGAAATTAAAAGCTCCATAGGTAGGACAGAATAAAATCTAGACTGGAAAAGTTACCCCATCTTGATGAACTCCTTACCATGCTTACTGGATTAACTTTATTTTGGTTAGCATTCGCTTTATTTAATTTTAAAGTAATTTTCTTCTAGGATTATAACGGTCAAAAAACATCTTTCAGAATCGCAAGAAAAACACTGTTTGAGTCTTTCCTCATGACAAAACTTAAAAAATTAAATTTATATCAAGTCTTAATCTCAGCCTTTCTCCCAAAAGCAGCCATGCCCAAACGATTTGCTGTGCATTCACACTGGTGCAGCTGAGTAATGTGTGTCCTGGCACAGCCTGATCAATTCCCTCCTCTGTCACCTGTGTCCTGGCACAACCTGATCTCTGTCCCCTAAACCAAGCCAAAAACTCAATCAGAGCCCCAGAACATAGCTGTTTTCAGTCCCGCAGGCCCTGCTCCATCGCCTCCCCTGCACGGGGCAGCACAGACACAGTGGCAGATGTGACACTGGGGAAGGGCTCAGGGCAAGGGGCTGCAGGGAAAGGGACAGTC